AAATTATAAATACAAATTTCAATTCAATAACTTTCAATTAAAAATGTTTAACTAGTTAAGACTGGTTCTTTATAGGATTTAAGTCAAATACAAATACCTCCCATTGCATAAATGGTTTTAAATGATATATTAGAATTTTAATGCTATGTTAGCATATTGTTTAATTTTATTATTGAAATAATTTACAATTATGAAGGTTAGAATCCCCATTTTATCACTATTATAAATAGTGTTTCATTTAGAACTTTGAAATGATATGGTTTCTTATCATGTGCATGTAAAATTTATGTTTTCTTAACCATGATTTTTTTTTTTAATTTTTGCACATTTGGCTTGATGAATTCTCTTGTATACGTAAATTTAATACAAAATATTTTTGAGCATAGGAGGAAAGAAAGGATAAGATGAATAGGATGGTTCCTTCCTATCTCTCATATGGGAAATCATCATCCACTCATTTAAATATCATTTTCCCCACGTTTTCCTCCAATAGATTGAGTGGTGGTTCCAGCACTTGTTTACTGCACGTGAGTTCTAGACCGACCACTTTCCCAAGATTCTTTGGATCTTATGTTGCCTACGGATTTCAGGGCGCCAATTATAAAGTTTTAACACTCTGAATCGTTTTTCTTACAATGCTGTAATTTTATTTTCACAAAGATAGATTTTATTTATATACTAGCCATACAAATCTACAAATCAAAGATAATTAGCTCCCAAAACAGAATAAAAGTTAGAGTTACATCCACATAAATATTATAAAGGTGCTCTTGTTTGAGAAGGGGTAGAATTGTAAACAAGTAAAAATGATGTGTTGGAAGTAGCAAAAAAAAAAAAAAAGATTGAAGCAATCCTTAAAATACTGAGTCTTATAACAGATTAAAGAGAATAGGTTACTGATAAAGTAAGGCTGAGGGTAGGGTACAGCAAGTGTAGAGAATAGGTAATAACGACAAAGTAAGTTTGAGAATAAGAGGAGAACGGATAAGTACTAGAGAATTTGAGAGAGTGTGTGAAGTCTATTTGCCTATACTTAGAAAATCTTGTTATGTGTAAATGAATTGTCAAAACTTTATATATAAAGTATAAAAAATAGTTATTCAAGAATAAGTTTTAATATATATAATAAGCAACAATATTGAAAAGAGCTTCCATGTACAGAGTATGTAATAGTTATTGAAAAGAGCTTTAATGTATAATGAGTAACAATTATTGAAATCTCATTATGTCGCCATTAAAAGTAATGGATTTTCTAACAAATCATCATTAATAGAGTAATAAGACTTGTTCTTGATTAAAAGGTGAGAGGTAAAAGTACTTGTACTTAAAAAAAAGAGAGGTTAAGATGAAGATCTCTTAACTATCTTTATATATGAGAAGTGAAACTAACCCATGAATCCTACTACTTGTTTTGGGTTACTTTCATTATTGTTTACATGATATAGTTATTGTATTTGTTTTAGTTATTTACATTGCTCTATGTATTGCATTATGCTTGCTATAAAACAACTCTTAGAAAAATGATAAATTGGTAGTGATCAAAATCAAGTATTTACATTTTACCCTTACATGGGGATTCTTGACTTGAGATGTTTCTCTACATTGTTAGTAGCATAGAAGTGAAAAATAAAGCGATTAATGTATTATGTGTGGTATAGTATACCACTTGTCACATCTTATTTTCTAAAAGGATCACGACTGACACATGAACTTGGATGAGCATAACCCGCTAGGCCTAAGCAAGCCTCTTACCATAACCTCATTAAACATTCATCATTTCATGGAGAAGCATCTTATATCATCCATTTACATATGAAATCATCATGCATGCATTCATACTACTCATTATACAATTAAGGAGCTTCTCAATTTAATTGTGCATGCTCAAGCATTTGGTGTGTGTATATATGTGTGTGTGTGTGTGTGTATGTGTGTGTGTGTGTGTGTGTATGTGTGTGTGTGTGTGTGTATGTGTGTCACTATAATAGTGCATTTTAACATTAGCTGTCAACAACACCCTCGAGTGTCCATGTAGGCTTTCGAGCCATTATTACATAACATTATCAATATAAATGCCCAACATTAGCAACATTAACATAAACATGTTTATAGTTTGTAAACATAAACATAAAATAAAAGACCGACTCATAGGTGGAATGTGACCACCCTTTAGGCATCAAGTGTACTAGACACCTATCAAAGAATGAAGAGTGGACATTGGTATCTGTAACACTGGTTGCTATTAGACGCTATCATTGATTTGCAACAAAATAACTAGGAAAAAATAATGTGTAAGTTACAAAGACTCGGTGAGTGGATACGAGAAGGGGACAAGTTAAGAGATAAGAGTATTTTGTAAACATGCACTTGTAATCTTATGACATTCATAAATAATTTAATCATGGAATTCATAAAACATGTTATTTGAACACATTTGAATAGCATTCGTTTGAAAACATGTTAACATATTGCTTTGGGAATCTTTTACTTTTGAAATTCTCATCAAATTCAATCAAACAACCTATTATGCACCAAATCTATTGATACATTCTTGAATGTATCAATACTTTTTAGCATCTATTGATATATTAGTAAAATATATTGATACATTTCACACAAAAAGCTTCTTGAAGCATTCTGTTTAAAATGTATCGATGCTTAACCTACATGTATCAATATTTTCAGCTTAGAACCCAAATTCTTGGGCAAAATCCTCCATTTTTACCATTTCTTAAATTTTGTTACCTTTTGGGACTTTCTCTTAGGCTTAGTCTTTTTCACTAAGCACATTCTGATGCCATCATAGAGTTATGAACAATGCTCAAACAACATTAGTATGCAAAAAACCATAAACATAGTAATTATGATCATTCCATCAACATTCAACTTATTCTTTGTAATGGTACATCCCCCATCACCTTGGGCCGGCAACATACATCCCTATCACCCTTGGCCGTTTATCATGCATCATAGGAGTGAAGTCGTCACTTGCACTAGTGAGAGTGGGATCAATTACACTCATAAAGTTCTAATTCTCATAAAACTAGGTATATGGAATGTCCTTCACATACAACCTTACTCATCTTATAAGGTATATTGAAAATGCATCATATACATAATCTCATGGCATTCATCATGATTTTTCAATCATCTCATATAGTATATGAAATATACATCATATACATAATCTCATGGCATTTATCATGCGTACTTAATCACTTCATATGATATATAGAATTTACATTATATACAAAATTTTATAGTATACATCATGCATATTTAGTCATCTCATATGGTATATGAAATTTATATTATATACATAATCTTATGGCATTCATCATACCAAACATGCACTGTAACACCTCGTATTCTCGTACAGAAGCCAATAAGATTTAATCGATAAGACAAAAGGTCAATTGACGTAAATTTAAGTGCCAAAGAGTGACAATGGGTTAAAGAAATATTTTAGAATAAAATATTCTACACATGAGAAAATAATAATTAAATAATAATATTTTTTATTGAGGATGAATTAACAAGTTAAAAGGTGATTTGAAAGTGAACCGAGTCAAAGTGAGACACTTTGGGACCCAAGAAGACAAGTGGAGGATTTTGAAATAAAATAATATTAAAATAGTAATATTTTATCTACTATTGGAATTAATCGTGAAAAAGGACTATATGAATAGTCTCAGTGGGGGAAAAGAATTAAGAAAGAATTTTGAAGAAAAACGATGCTAGTGGGGCCTCATATATTTATTAAATAAAGCTAGAGTGGGTAAGTATATATTTAAATATTATGATGGCATCTTGGTGAGGTGTAAATTTTATATTTTATTTGTACAATTGTAAAGGAAGAAAAATAGAAGGAAATTGAAATTAAATAAATGTTGAAAGGACCAAATTGTGAAGGATGAAAAGTTTAGAGGGTCACATGGTAAATAAGGAAAAGTTGGAGGACTTACGTGCAATTTCGACATTTGAAGTTAAATGTAAACCAATTAACCAAGGAAAGTTGGATTATGTAGGATATGAAGTGTGCATGTGAATTCACTATTATATACAAATCATAACATGTAAAAAAAAAGAAAAGTCAGTTAAGAACATGTGGAACCCTCGCCATGTGAAGAAAAGGAAGAATAAAGTTAAGTTTATTTGCATGTAATGAGATTGTTGCATTAGGTGACCAAATGAGGACAGTGAAATGTGGGAAGCATATGACTTTAATGGTTGAATAAATGGCTAAATAAAATGTAAAGTGAAGCTTGTGGATGGAGTGTGATTGGAGGAATAAGGTGGCAAATGAAATTTTTTTTAAAAAAAAAGGACTACCATGTGAATCAATGCATGAGTAAAGTAATTTAGCCAAATGATAACGGAATGGACAAGGAAAACCTTGCATGTACAAGCCACCAACGAAGAGTGGTGTTAATAACAGAGTGAGAAATGGGATGGCATGACATGTAAAGAGAAAAGAAAAGAAAATAATGGAAAAAGGATGTGGCCTTGGGTAATCTGCCCATGTGTGGACAAAATGAAAAATTGAAAGCCATTTTCAAGGCTTTTTCCTTGAGAGATCCGCCCATCACAAAGCAAAAAGAGAAGAAAGAAACATACAAAGTGGAGGTTCGACCTTTAGAAGAAAATATGAAGAAAATAAGTGAGTTTTCATGAGAGATCCACCTGTTTGGAAGGGAAATAGACAGGAAAAGACTTTGTAAAGCTTTCACCCGAGAAGAGAGGAAGAGTTGAGAAAGGAAAAAGAAGAGAAAGGAAGAAAGGAGAAAGGAGAAAAAGAGAAAAGAAGGTTCAGCTTGAAGGAGCTAGAGAAAATCGAGAGGTTTTCTTCCCACCCACACGTCATTGTTGGAAGCTTAAAGAGGCCTTGGTGGTTTGGCTTAGAAATTCAAAGGTGAGGAAGGTAAAAACTACCATTTTGTTTGAATGCATGCTTCTTGAACTGATTATAATATGAGATTTTGCTTGTGGTAGTAAAAACCTTCAAGAATTCAAGGAACCTGATTCATGCATGTAGGTGGATCTTGAATGCATGCTGATTTTTGAGCTAAATAAAAAATCGGTAAGTGTTTTAGTTTTGAAATCACAAATAAAATGTGTATTGATTGTTTATGCTTGTGGCAGCAATCATGGTCGAGAATGTGAAGAATGGTGAATTACATGTGGAAGTCAAGCTAAAATCGAGAGGTTAGCATGCAATATGACTACATTGTGCTGTGTTGGTTTTGGTTTGGTTGATAGTAGGTGGATTGTGTGTTAAATGAGTATGGATGATGTTGATGAAAACTATAAAATTTGGTTAAGGAATTATTGATTTATGTGCTGCCAGTATATTAGCACAATTAAGTGTATTGGGTTTGAATGGTTACTAAAAAGTGTATAAGTAGAGGAAGTGTGCTGTGGTGGCATGCCGGATGAGGTAATGATTGACTGGCAAGTAGAGTTAGCTAGATACGCATCCGAGTCAATAGTGACCTAGTATCTCGCTATTATACAGTGAGTAGGGGGTGTCAATTTCCAAATTTCATACTATATATATGCTATACGATTATAGACGTGTCGATTTACTTTAAATGCGAATTGTGGATAGCATGAGTTGGTAGAATGTTAGGCTTGTGAATGCCATGCTTTTAATAGGTTTTGTATATATGTATGTATAACTATATATGTAAAGGATTTTAAATTAGGAAACAACCATTTTTACCACGATTTATATCAAAGTGTGCCTTGATGATTTGTGTGATTTGCATGCATGAACAATTACATGTATTCACCATGTTGACTTGATATTTAAAATTTATGCAAAGGTTTTACATTGCAAAGTCTTACCAAAAGAGGTTTTATCATGTTGCCATGATTGGTACTTTTGAAATGGATTTGAAATGAGCTTTTGAGAACCCAATTTGTTTTTAAATGGTTTTATCAAATTGGAAGATTCGAGAGTAAGTCAGATGTCACATCGAAAAAGTGTGACCCTTATGCATAAGTGAGCTCTAGCTAGAAAACCTTTGGGTCGCCAACAGGCTGTTAAACATGGCTGGGGCCATGATTTGTGATATGTATACGTGGCTAGGCCACAAGTGATATACATGGTTGTGATCACTTGATTTCTCCGATATCAGCCAACATCGTTGAGACTGCCATGGTTGTAGGGATCCGGTGGAGCGAAGCTCCTAAATGTTATTATGTGGAAGTGGGTCCATGAGTTCTTTATTTCTATTACCTACTTGAGAGTGATATCTCTTTGGGTTTTTAATACGTATTCTTTCGCATGGTGAGAACTATAAGATTTTCCGCAGCTCCTCTATTTATACTACAATGTTAGATTTAACTCCTCACGTATAAGGTGATTTGCGAATTTGTGTATAAGCTTTGATAACTCTTGATTTTACGGGAGCATGCGTGTTTATGTTGGATTGGTTTGAGTAAAAGTTGTTGAATGATTTCAAAGATGGGAAATCTTGTACTTATATTGGTTTAGATACATTTACTGTTAAATGATACATTGCCCTAAAATTCTTGGTTTTACAAATAAGGCACAAATGTTTCATTTAATTACAATTGGTTTATTCACACTCTTATATTTTAATATTCGAATCTTCTGCCCTTAGCTTATTTTCCATCTACACCCTACTCACGGAGTTGATGATCATTGAGATAAGTAATCGGTTCAAGTGCTTCACTTAGCACATCGAGACTAGCCGCAACATAGGTAATGGCATCTCTTAGATTTTCACTCCGAGTTGCTCTGCTACATAGGGGTCGTGTTTATTAGTTTATCGAAAATGTATTGCTAGAACTTAAAGGTTGTGTAATGAATATTAAGTATGTTTGTATTTGACTTAAAGTTTATCGAAATTGGATATTGTCATCGGGTAGTGACG